AAGAGAAAGTTTTTCTGGACTTCCAATGTTACCATTGTCAATGTCCATGGAAGTTTGGGAAGTTGATCTTCCAATCAAATTTTGCTTTACCAATGCTCCAAATCATTGCTGATTCAGCATCATCAAGCAAATAGGTAAGATCATTAAGGGTCATGTCGTGATCTGTTATCAGGGAGTGACCAAGTCAACAGCCAGCTACCTTGAGACTTCGACACCCTACTCTCCCGGCTTGTCAATATGTGACTTAATCTCCAAGACCTAAGCACATATAGACTTTGTTTGCCAATAGGGATTGAGTGACTTAGAACTTATCATGTCTTGAAACTTGTGGGATAAGGAGATTTATTGGAGGAGGTGGAGGAAGTGAAGTATGATTTCCAGTCCCACTAATGCACAACAAAGGGATTGATCTTTCACCTTGGTTGCCATTTGGGATATCATCTTCATTAGGAAGCTTGTTCCTAAAGATTTGGGAAGACCATAGTTGTCTAAACTAGACATCTATAATGGGAGAAATTCAAGTTAGTTGATTTAAAGTCCTTAATATAACACCCAATATGAAATATTAAGGCTAGGACCCAACAACCTATTTATAACTGGAAGAGGGATGTCGTAATCCAAATTATAAAATAGTTGAAGGTAGGTAAATGACGATTTACCAATTTCCTACCATAAAAACGAAATATAATTAAGTTTTTAATTGGATTTGAAACTCCTAGATCTTTTGAGATACATTGAATTTTCAATGGCATGTTTGAATCTCGATTGTGCCCTCTCAAGTTTGTGACTGGGATGCCGAGGATCACAAACAAGGTGTGAATAACCATACAAATTGACTTGGTACCCTCAACAATATTACCTAATCGATGTGCCGGTTAACCACACACGCTCCACCGATCTATAATAAAGTCAAGTTACCATTTGCCACTCTTACTAGTCCATGTTAGTGTGCCGGTTAACCACACACGCTCCACTAACGACTTGGTAAGGTACAAAGTGTAATTTTATGGGCTAGCACAAATTTCACATTTTCCTAAAGTAACTAAGATTGGGAATTTATAATGTATAGTTACTTTATAATTCATTATACTTTTAACGAGTATTTAAAGTCGTATCCTACCCGTTCGGCTAACGACCCTCCACCGATCAAGGAAGCGGTGGGTGAGAGTGGACACCCATTAAGTCACCATTTTATAGGCAACAACCTTATACCCCCCTTATAGACCGGCTTCGTGAATGAGGCCTACTAACGGTAAGAATGACATATTCTTATACATATCTATATAATTAAAATTATAATAATAGTATAAGGGTGTATTTTAAACATTTAAAATACTTGGTGGTTTAATCTATTAATTAAACTATACTTAATTTAATTAAACTTAAACCATGTCTTTATGGAATTATTAACTCTTTTAATTAAACACTTTAATTAATTTAATGAAGTCCATAAAGCTTTAATTTTACCTTTAAAAAATTCTAAGAGTTCAATTTGGAATTAAAGTGTAAGGCTTTTCAAATTCCAAAACTTGAGGGCAAGAATTGAAACTATTCCAAGTCTCTTCAATTTGTAACTTGTGAGTTTTAATGGTTCATAAAATGAAGACTCTTCATTTTATGAAACCTCTTTAGTTCTTTAATCATAATTAAAAGAAGTGACTTTTGGTTATCCATAACTTGAGGACAAGTTATGGACACCATCATTAGCATTAAGATCATGAATTTAACAAGCATGTAAGTTACACAAAATTCCTATGATCTTCTAAAAACTCATAAGAACAAAATATTCATATCAAACAATTTCAAGAAAATCATATAAACATATACAATACTTGAAAATTGATAAAAGTCATGTAAAATGGGTTAACATAATCATTATCATTTTGAAAAACAGATTTTACAAGTCCAAAACAGATTGGGATAATGATCTTAATCCATTTCCAGCAACAAAACTCGAAAAAACTGCCCAGCACGATCCTACTCGCCGAGTGCATTATTCTACTCGTCGAGTAGGATGAATTTGTTCATGGACTCGGCGAGTCCTCCCCATGGACTCGGCGAGTCCAGTCGTCAGAGTGCAGAATTTTCGATTTTTAAGCAGTTTTGCATCAAGTATACAGAAAACAATCCTAGGCTCTGATACCACTGATGAGTTTTTTGAGCATTCTAACACTTCCTAAGTGTACATGCAACCCTAATAACCTTGAATCTATGTTTTCTCTATATACATGCAAATTTCTTTTCAATGATATTTCCTAACTAGCATGGCATGGGGATTACATAGAACATAAAACTAGTAGAAATACATACCTTGTTGTTGCTTGGATTCCTTCAAGACTTTGTGAGCCTAGCACCCCAAATGTTGTGCCTCAAATGCTTCACACAACACCACAAGACTTGGAATAACTTGAGAGAATACTTCTAGCACTCAAAATCGGTTATGCCCTCTCTAGTAACACTAGGTCCACTAGGTCACCATTTTGCTAGCCATAGGGTTCCTTTTATAGTGTTGTCACAATTAGGGTTTACACATGAATGCCCTTAATTGTCATGACTCTTGATTTCCCATGACCCATGGGTTTGTAACTCCCATGGACTATCCATGGAGCTCCATATGGTTATAACCAAACCCATAAACCATGGATCATTAATCCACCATAAAAGAATTGATGATTGTCATAATCAACCCTATATATTTAATTAGTCTCACTTTGATCACTAGATTAATACTAGATTAATACTTGATCAATACTAATTAAATAATACTATTATTAATATATTAGAACTTATAATATATTAATAATCATAAGTGCCTTATTCTCTCATTTAGTCTATCCAAGTATTGCAATGCCATGCAACCCAAATGGACCATGTCGGGTCGGGTCAAGTACATACCAAATAAAGTTATGGACTTAGACACTATATCCAACAGTTAGCTCAAGCCGCATAAGCAATGTTTGGCTCATCGCATAACCCCACGGCTCTCGTGGGCGAGGTTCGGTCGTTCTCTTGATTATTTATTGTATTGGTGCTTTATCCGGTCCGATCCGATTGTCAGCAACCCAATCGCATCAGACTAGGGGGACTTGACGACGCACAATTTATATGACTAGTTCCAGTCCGATGTCATTGGCCGCGTACCAATAACACCAGACTGGGGGGGACTTGATGATATATGATCCATTGGCATGGCCTAGACTGCTCTAGCGCGCCAGCCTGGCCTGGCGCGCTCCTGCCAGCCCTGCCTGGCGCTCACTTGCCAGCCTTGCTGGGGTCTCCCTTGCCAGTCCTGCTGGGGACGCTCCCGCCAGCCCTGCCTGGCGCTCCCTTGCCAGCCTTGCTGGGGACTCCCTTGCCAGCCTTGTTGGGGACTCCCTTGCCAGCCCTGCTGGGGACTCTCCTGCCGGCCCTACCTGGCGCTCCCTCGCTTGGCACTCCCCTGCCATCCTTTCCTGGTGCGCGCCCGCCAGCCTTGCCTGGGGCGCGTCCGCCAGCCCTGCCCGGCGCCTCCATACTCCGGCCGGGGGGCTCAGCCGCCACCCTCTGCCGTCAGCCACCATACACCACCACTAGCACCAAGATGGTTCCCTCCAGCTATGGAGAACCATCTCAGATCTTCTAGCTGATCTAACTTGACCGTCGGAGTCCGCTCCCGGGGCACAGTCCCTGGGATGGCTCTAACGACTTTGCACTGTGATATCCAGATCTCCGCTGCAGCTGAAGACCAGAAAACTCGTTGGAGGTCGATGTCGCATCAGGTTGCTTAACCCTTGCCTCATTGGACCTGCCCTACCAAGGCCCAAATCCAACTAGTCCTAAAAGCATTCCAAGCCTAACTACAAGCCCCCGCCCCCCTAAGGCCCAACATGGCCTTAAGCCCAAAAATGTCATCCTGCAACAGGTGGGCCTGAGGCCCAACCTAAACAAGTCCAAAACCCAACCAAAAACGAGCCCAAAAGGCTTGCAAGCCCACAGACGACGTACGTGCGACGTACATGGCTCGTACGCCCATCGTATACTGATATTCCGAAAGTCGGGGCACTGACCCAATACGCGCAACATACACTTGAGGCCCAACCTAAACAAGTCCAAAGCACAACCAAAACACGAGCCTAAAAGTTTCGCAAGCCCACAGACAGCGTACGTGTGGCGTACATGGCTCGTACGCTCATCGTACGCTGATGATCCGGAAGTCGGGGCACTGGCCCAGTACGCGCAGCGTACACTAGAGTACGCCCAGCATACTGGCCTGTCAGCCCATTTTTGTTCCCAAGTCTTAATCCATTCAGCTCCAATGTCTAAAACTTAGATCCAAGCTCATAATAGCATTTTAAGCCATAAAGATGCAAACTTTATGCTTTTGCATGCCTTGTTGAGGCTCGAACTATGAATTAAGCCCTTTAACTCACTTAGGTGGTCACTAACACATGCACGGTTGAGTCTTAACCTCAAAGATACGATTTTTATGACTCCATGCACACTTCGAAGAGTCCAAAAGGACTGCTCAAATGGCCTGGAGTAGCTCATACTCCAAGAAACCAAGTTATGGGACCAAAAGATGCTAAAGCTACCCTAAACCTAGATCTAAGCTTAGAATGAACAAGGTTCAGACTTTATACCTTCAATAGGCTAGAAATGGTTCACAAACTCTGGATTTACAAGCTCCTTCTTCTCATTTGCTTCTTCCCAAACTTCCATCTTCTTCAAAACCACTAAAGAACACCCAAACACTCAATGTAAGCTAAAAAAAAATGCACTCAAGATGGCTAGAGTTTGAGATTGGCACTAAAAGGGAAATGGAGGCTGAAAGGGTAATGAACTTGAGGGACTTAAGGACTTTAAATAGGGTGCAAACCCTAAAATCTAGGGTTTACCCATGACTCGAGTACGCCCAGCGTACGCCAAGATCACCCCCGAAGGCGCACATGCACGAAGTACATCGTGCATACTTAATGTACGCCCAGCGTACTCACGAGCCCTTTCACCCCCTTTTAGTCTAATTAAATAAGATAATAGGTCAAATCCATACCTGGAGACTTAGGCGATACACTCATCGAGCTTCCGAATCTAAGGGGGAGTGTTAGTGTATCCCACATCACAATTGCACTTGTGATTGTTCTGTATTCACTAAATGTCTTGTTTAAGTCATCATCTATTATTGATTCTGATAGGTTCTTAACAAAGACATTAGTGAACTTTCTCTTGTCAACAACCAATTCTCTTTCTTGCTTATGTAGGAAAGGGCCTATATACACTTGTTTGTCATTCAGAAGCATGCCATTGAGCTTCTCACTGGCTTGTTGTGCAGCTACCTCAGTATCATACTGCATAAACCCATAACCCTTTGACTGACTAGTCATGTCAATGGGAATCTTGCAAGAAATGATGTTGCCAAATGTAAAGCATGTGTCATGTAGTGCTTTTTGGTCAATTGCCTTGTCCAAATTCTTGATAAATATTTTCCCAGATGTACTTTTGCATACAATGGGATCGCGATGGGAATACATTATCCTAACAGACTTTCCATTGAGAGGTGTGAAGTTCAGCACCTTTATCGCCCTTGCAGCATCTTGTGGGTTCACATAGTTGACATAGTCGTAGCCAAGAGATCGTCGAGTAGACAAATCCCTGCAAACTCGAACCGATACCACCTGACCTAGTTGGCTAAACAGCTCAAACAGTTATGAATCGGTGACGTTCATCTCCAAATCACCGACATACAATGACGTCGACACAAACTATTGAGCGTTGCCACCATATGCAGAACCACCATTCACCGATTGAGGTTGAAGAACTTGCACCGACATCTTAAAACCCTAGCATAAATTTTCTCTTTTCCAGATATTTTTCACTTTTTTTTTGCTTTTGTAACCTCCCTCTTCCCCTTCTTATTTCAAATCTTAATAGATAAATAGAAACTCAAATAAAAATTCAACTTACAACAAAACACACCGCATAAACCCCATAAATTTTTTCACTTTTTTGTTGATGCTTGTTTTTTGTTTTGTTTTTGAAATGGGTAGTAGCTAGAAACAGCTGCATAGTCCAATTTTTTTTAGGGTCATATATATATATATATATATATATATATATATATATATATATATATATATAATAGCGATGTTTTTTTCTTGCTGGTCATGGGAATTTGATGATCATTTAAATCTTCAGGACCGGACCCTAACTCTGAATTGAATAGGGTATGATACTTATTTGAACATCCATTATTATTTTAAATATTTTTTAGAGTTTTTAAAAATTAAAATGTTTTATACTTTTAACAATTTTCATTCTTGTCTTATAAAGATTTAATTCTTTTACAAAACTTGAAACTATTCTTACATTGGACAGAAAATAAAGACATCTTACAAGTTGCCTTCGATCACAAAGCGCTTCACCACGTTGGATTATCTATCAAAATTATTACTTACACAAAATAATAAAGAGCTTCATCACATGGGATTATGATGTATCAAAATCATTACTTGCACAAAAGTATCGTACAAAAAGTTTATTATTTTACATGCGAGGGAATTAATATACCATATATGCATCAAAATATACCAAATGGCACGGAAAGCCCATAAGAAATATTGAATTAAAAACATTTGTAAATTAAAAAAGATGGTACAACAAGAACGAAAGATGATACCGATCACAATAATTTCACGTCATATATTTCGTTAACATTTTTCAGAAAATTTATGTCTTGTATTATACTTATTTTGTACATATATTGTCATCATCTCACTGAGTTTATGCTCGTAAAAGTTGAAAAGTTACGCAATGAATAATAAATTAAAATCCATGGCATGTCGAGATTTATCTGCCCATGTGGGTGTAGATATCATGTGGTCCTTTTGGTTACTCGATATAATATAAATAGAAAGGTATATTTAAAAGATACTACAAATAAACAAAATAAAAATAAAATAAATACAAAAGTAGTTGAATATTTTTAACGATTTTGTAACAAATATTACAAAAAAATAATAATAATAATAAAAAACAAATCATGTTTTTTTTAATGCATACTTATTTTGTAGTTGCCAAACAAATAATTAGATTTAGGTTGGTAGATGTGGTGCCACAAAAACTGTATTTTCTTCTCTGCCACATGGATACCATGTCAATTTACCAAACAAAGTGTGGTTTTTTGCCACATACTAAGTGTGGGGACTATGGTAGAGAGAGAGAGAGAGAGAGAGAGAGAAAGAATGAATAACGAGTGTGGCTATGGAGTACCACACCAAGTCTAACATCAGTACAAACCACATGGTAGGAACGGTGTGTTGCACTGCTGAGGTGGCTAACCGCGGTAGAAACAACACCCCATACCCTATAGTCTTACTAGCCCCATTAGAAAACGGTGCGGTTACCTAGGTAATTATAATCAAGTAATTAAAGTTGGAGTATAATAAAGTTTGACAATTTTATTAGAATAATCTACATGTACAACTGAATCAAGGATTACATTTCAATCTTCCAAACATCTTTTTAATGTTTTTACTATACTTCTTTTCAAGAACATAGATCACCACATTATATGTAACGTCTCAAAAATACTAGTAAAGATTTTTATTTTCAACCCACTAAAACCATACAATCATTTGTTCAAAAGCCAACCAATGTTTTAAATGTATTCCAAAATATCAGAGTAAATCAAAACAAACAATGCGGAAATAAACTGTAGGGAATGTTGTGCGATCACGTCGGGTCCTTTCCTATTGGAATCAAAAGTACCTGAAACGTTTAAACCACAAAACTGTAAGCACAAAGTTTAGTCAGTTCCCCAAAATACCAGATATCATACATAACATCGGGCCCCACCCAACTCAACAGGCCCCGCCAACCAGACAAACGGGCCCCGCGCAACATACAAACGAATCCCGCCCAACATACAATGCAAGAGTCACAAAGACACCTAGCATCCTACATAGTATAGTGAGAAGACTAACCTCTCTCACAAAATCATACAACCACGACTCAACGTCATGAAACATGTGTTATAACCCTCCTATCGAATCACACAACGTGACACCTCAGAACTAGCAATTTGACCAAAAGTCAACAAAGTCAAAAGTTAACGTCAACTGACTTTCACGTTGTGATCAACCTGTGGTCATGTCGTGGAAAACAAACTCAGGCCTAATCTAAATGGTAATCACGATCCAACCCAGTCATGGACTGTCACGTCGTGATGGTCATGCCATCACGCCATGACAGAGTTTGTCCAAAACAGTCGATGAGCCATCATCGGCACATCGTGACATCCTTATATATGGTCACGCCGTGAAAACTGTATTGGGGCAACTTAATGCATTAATCCCTAATCCATTAAGCCACCCGTCCTAACTTCCCACAAGGCTTTCTTACTGCAAAAACATTCTAAAATTTGATACTTTATATACATGCATTTCCAATGCATTTCTTGAGTTCATGTTAGGTCAAATGATGAAAATGGAGCCAAACTCACATGCATGGATTCAAAACTCAACCAAAATTCAGATCCATAGGATATAACCTTCAAGGGACCTCAAGGATCCATAAACTTGCCAACTTTATGGAATCCATCCATCCAAAATTTCCCAAATGTGGAGAAAATGGACAAAAAGCATAGATCTAGGAGCCTAATGCATAAAGATTGGAACTTGATTTAAACTAAAGAGGTACGAAGCGTGCAAGTTTTAAAATAATAAGATACGATCTGAGTTAATTTTTGAAAATAGGGATTGAACATGTGTTTTGGCACTTGCATGTGTGACGAATGGTGTAACTTACCCAAAATATAATTAATCAAATTTTTAATTAAAAGATAATTACTAAATCTTAAATGGTTTAAATAGTAATTAATTAAAAGTTAATTAAGTTAATAAGATTTAAGTCTTCTATTCTTAAAAAGTTTAAAATACACTCTTACATATATTTACAAGAGTATATAATAGTATATGTAAAACAATAATAAGTCATCAGTCAAATCAAGAGTAAGCCTCATTTATTAAGCTACACTATAAGAGAGATATAAGGAAACGACCTATCAAAATAACCATTGAATGTCCTTTTCACGCGCCACTTCATTATTTGGTGGATTACCTTTAGCTGAAAGGGTTCTAATAGGATGTAAATTTTGTTGAAAGTATAACAAAAAGTACTAGAACATAAAACCCACTCTAGTTACTAAGGAAAAATGTGAACTTGTATGCTAATCCATGAAAACACACATCATTTCTTTATGAATCGTTAATGGAGCGTGTGTGGGTAACCGACACATTAATTTGGGACTATAAAGTGAAAATGATGAAACAAATCAAGTCTATGATTGTTGATGGAGCGTACGTAAGTAACTGACACATAAATGTGAGATCATAAATGAGAACGAGGGTGTTACGTTGGTTTGTATGGTTACATCTTGTTTGTGATCCTCGGTATTCACAAATGCAATAGCATAATCTGAGATTAACATGCTATTGATAGTTCAATGAATCTCAAGAGATCTAGGAGTTTTATAATGATTGAAATTCGTAAAGTGTTTTACCTACCTAAAATAAATATATGATGTGATTACGATATCCCTCTTCATATAATGAATCGAAAATATGGATACTATACTTAATTTAAAATTGGGTTAATAACTAAGGATTGAATAGACTTCTTTGAATTTTCTCTATTAGGTTAGATGGAAATCATATCCCACCTCCTCGTGCACTTTCGAATTCTTACTTCTCTCTGTTATCCATCGAAAATAGCTCTTTTCTATGGAATCTTCCTCAATTGGATAATGGGAAATATGTACTCGATGAGCATATCCCTTAAATCAATAATGCATCAACTTTGAAGAAGTTGTTATTCCCATAAACATGTAGATTTTTCAAATAAGGTCTCTTGCATCATTATCTCTATGTCCACGATCTTTCAAAAGGATCTTTTATCAACATATGAACTTAATTTGCAATTGAGTGATATGTTTCATTAAAATGCAAAGCATGAGTGATTTGAAAATCATCAAAAGTTCCTACTTGCATACAAGCTAAAGGGGAGAGTTTTGTATGTGCTCAATGAGAGCTACATAGATAAACTCGAGAATCTCAATGTTGTCCATTGCAAATATCTTTCAATAGATCTTGTGCTTGGATCTTTTATTAGTTATTTTGATCATTTCAACTTGATATATCATATGAATAGTATGAATAAAAAATTGATGGAATTCTTAAAACTTCTCCAAACTTCGGAAAAAGGATTGATTAGATTTCTTATCCAATTCTAGTTCTTGCCATTCTAGTTCTCGGAATTTTAAATGTTGGTGGAAAGAAGAGGAAACGTTCTAATCCTAAATGGAAAGGAATGGTTTTGGTCGGAACTTCCCATTATGAGGAAATGGAACTGGTATGTTCTCTATTCCTCGCAACCATGATTTGAAATAGGCAATATGGAATCAACGTAATGACAAGGATCATAAGAAATGAAGATGCCATAAGTACTTGGAGATGGTAAAGTAAAATGTATGACTCTACATCAAGTACTTGAACAATCAAACTCCAAATACTTCCAATTCATTGATCCTTGATGCATAATGTGGTAATCACATTTGGATGACACTGTAGGATCTAAAGGAAAGAATGAAGCCTAAGCATCAAGAGCTAATGTCTCGATGATTAAGGATTTCGAGCTTATGTTTTGTAATGGAATTAAACGAAATCGAGTTATTTGCTATTATTATTCAGAGATGTCTAGAAACCAAATTTCATTTTATGTGTTGTATAAACATGAATATCAATCTCATTTGATAATGGAAAGGTAATATTCTAGT